ATGATAACACCTTGTTCACGAGCTTTATTTCAGAAGAAGTCCTGTCTTGAAAACTGTTTAAACCACTTTGAGCAGATCGGTATATAGTGTACAGATGCATCTATGTCTGTCAAAAATTTTATTCCTCACCAAATTGCTGCTGAGGAGCTAAACTGTCATTTACTTGACACAAACTCCTCTTCTCAAAATCGCAGAGAAGAGAAGGAAAGGTCACTATTGGATGTCCTATGCCAGGGGCAAGGCAGAGATTTTGGGTGCTGTCTCCACCAGGACACTTTCTGTGTGAACCCAGTTTTTGTTCAATGCCTGTTGCGCGTTATGTGTGCATAGGGCAGGAGAAACTGTTGCTCGTGAAAACCCAATTCGAGTGCGCACATCAATGAAAGTTTCTTTGATAATTCTTTTTGCCAGGAACTACATGTTTGCCAGACGAGTACAAACATGTAAAGGTATAAATTTGCACTCTAACACAACTTTTCGTCTTTATTCTGTTAATTTGATGTTTCCTAAACATGAAGAAACACACTTGAGACCTAAAAATCATGAGAATGGCAACTATGCCTACATGCTACCACATTTATGTGGTTAAAAGTGAGTATTTGACCGACTTCTGTCTGGTTTGGAAGTGGATAACATTTAAAATATAATAAAAGCGGAGCTTCAGCAAACTTTCACGCCTGGTTGCTTCTTTCCATGCCCAAAAGACCTAGAATGACATCCGCAGGTTTGACCGACAAAAGAGTGCGCTAGCCGAGCACAGCGAGGTCGACAATCGCTGCAATGCTTTTGACAACTTCCGCATCGTCAACCTCGAGGTCACTTACCACAAGCGACTTCTTGTGTTGCATTGGTACATTCAGGTAACACCTGGAAACGTAAACTGGTCTGCAGGTGAACTGCCAAGTGTGTATTTCAATGCACTACAGCAAGGCGGTCAAAAGAAGTGTGATTCCCCGACATAAAGCCAAGGCAGTGTAAACTCTGACGCTTCAGGTGCTCCACGGTCACCCCTGATGAAAAGCCCGAGTAAGACGTGAAAACGTTGGGTTTTTTTCACTTTAAAGTAAAAAGAAGTTTTTACTTTTAATGAACACGCTGGTTGGTGTGCCTTGTCTAATGTTATTTAAGTGGTTGCAAGTAAACATCAATTTGGACACTTTCGTGGCTTCGCAACTTCAATCTCGCAAAAATATTGTAACAAGTTTTCACAGTAAGTTACAGCACATGCTTGCAGGGTTGCCAGGTTTGGCTATTTATACCGATTTGGCTACTTTTTCAGGCCAGTGGCGACAAAAAAAAAAAACTGTTTTGTTTATTTCACTCTTTTTTGGCTACTTTCTTTTCCCTTCAATTGGCCCAATATTATCACTGTTCGTTGATTTTAAAGCCATTGGTGCTTGAGTGTATGTCACGAAAATGTCTGTAAAGTGTGCTTCAACCTCTAAAAATTCAATTTTGCGCTTTGATTACACAGATAATGAATTCTATTGAAAAAAATGTTACAGTGTTCTAAGCAGATGCAACAGTCAGCAGTGTCGATCATAACACAAAATACATGAAAAAAGAAACTGTAGGTTTATAACCTGGAAGAGATTTTGGATATGTGGCTGGGACTCGTATGTGGCCGAGAACTATTGCACAGGGCACTATTTTGCGGATTACCTATTGTTGAACATGGCTTATTTAAACCACACTACGAAGTGAACAGAATTTTAAAGCGCTCTGCATTCACGGTAATCTGCACTCAGAGACAATTGAAATCATATATCTCACATTTCAATCGAACACTGAAAAACATTGCATTTTTAGACATACCTTCAATTTTGTATTTTTGGTTTATATTTCACATTGTTCTTATCAATCATGTTTAGCACAGTCTTTAAACAAATGTGTGGCAACACTGAAAAATTTTGGAAACTTTAAATATTATAAACATGGAGTAAAAAAATCTAAAATTAGAGCAATATTGAGCAATGTGCCATGTTCACAATTTTTTTTCATATAATATGGGCAACAAGACTGCAAGATAACATTTAGCAAATTCGCGATACTCATAGTATGGGAAGAAATGTTTACTAGAATATACTAAACAGCGCTCTCAATAAAAGGCTCCGCCCTTTTAGCTGCAATAGTTATCTTGGGGGATCTCATCAAAATCATATTTTCATGCAATTAGCAAAAAAGTGGTTCAGATGAGTGGAGACTTCCCAACTTTTTTTTACAGACTGAATTTAATAATTTTTTAAATATAATCTTTCAAATCATTGAAAAATGAATTTCAATCATTATTATCATTTTTTGCAGAAATAACGTTGGTTTCATACCAGTCATGTTGGTCTATTGGTTATGATGCTCGACTGATGACCCACAGGTTACAGGATCTAATCCTGCCTTCGGCGACCACATTTTTTATGGAGGCGAAAATTCTAAAGGCCCGTGTACTTAGATTTAGGTGCATGTTAAAGAACCCCAGGTGGTCGAAATTTCCAGAGCCCTCCACTACAGTGTCTCTCATAATCAGGTCCATGGTTTTGGGACGTTAAGAGCCATCAATAATTGCAATACTGGTTCAGCAGACTGAACGATGGTCAAATAAAACTAAAAATGGCCCCCCATAATAGCATGCAGTCTAAGGTTTTTAAAATGCACAGAAAAAAGTTTCGGCAGATCCCACACATGGTAGAAAAAAATTTCATGTGCAGCACTTGGCAGTTATCTGCGTATGCCACACTTGAGGCCACGCATTGCGAGGTGGATCGACGCCTTTGTGCAATTGAGCAGTTATGTGCATATTGGGAGCCAACAAGGCTAGTTGAGTGCACTGGCACCTCAAGGGTAGCTCGCTGTCTGACATCATGCCTGCATTCCCGTTACAGCACTGATGTCACTTTTATCGAAACAAACTGTAAGCAGTGCTTGTTGCTGTATTATTGTGGAGACTAGGAACGCTTAACTACAGCTTGTTGAGTCAAAGGAATACATGACTTCTTATCAATAGCCCGCACAAAAAATACAGAAAACTTGAAGTCAAGACAGAAAAAGAAAGCAACGTAAATTGATAAGGTGGCCTCATAGCAGTGCTGTACGCCAATGCAAAGAAGTTTGCTTTGTGGCAACATGCAGGAATTCTTTTGCAGTATTTTCTGTGAGTGGTGGTTGAGGGTGCAGGTTATAGGAGAGAAAAAGTGTTTTGTGTACTACATTAGGATCAACAGCTATAACAAATGCTATAGCCTTCTCCTTTTGACCTCAATTTTAGCCATTCTTTTGGGTTGTTATAGAATGTGGATCACTTGTGCATACGACAATTTACATAACATGGGTATTGGTATGAGGGTATGTGTCGCCAGGTAGTTATGGAACTTTTTTTTACAACCTTATCTGTTTTAGCCAGTATAAAATGCACAGAAAAAAATATGAACACCTCAAACAAGATTTTGTGACAGTAAAGAGATAATCAGAAACTATGTTCTTAGCCACTTATGGATGAGTGGTTGGTAATGTTAGAAATTATTCTGGCGAGTGTCGCTATGTGCCTTTGTGTCCAGTAGCAATGTAGTGATCTTCCTGTCTGTTTGTCTGTCCATCCAGCCGCCTGTGTCTGGGTGCTCTCGTGATCACCCCCTTAGCATGAGGTAAACCAAAATTAGCATGGGAGGGTAACATGGTTTGACGAATATGACTCACTGGTCATATTATAATGTGGCACATACTTGTGGGTGGGTATGTGCCACAGGTATTCGGGTATGTGCCACAGGTGACTGACAGTTTACATCTATTCAGGAACGGCTGGAACAGACATGGTAATTTAACGTGAGCATTAAGAAAAAGCTGACAATGGCAGCGTTGACCCAACGAATGCAAAGAATAAATGTCAGGGCTCCAAAGTGGGACGAAGCTCTTCGCAGTTCGCACATGACTCTTCAACCACAGGCTTGTGGTTGCAGTGCTGGCTATCTAACTTTATTAGAAACATTACACATGTGCGCCTATGATATAAGTGTCACGTTAACGTCAATTGTAGTTAAGTGCCATCCGCTGAAGTTGGCGATATGTGGGGTTTATGTCCCAAAACCACCATATAATTATGAGAGACACCGTAGTGAAGGGCTCCGGAAATTTTCACCACCTGGGTTCTTTAACGTGCACCCAAATCTGAGTACACGGGCCTATAGCACTTTCGCCCCCATCGAAAATGCAGCTGCCACAGCCGGGATTTGATCCCGCGACCTGCGGATCAGCAGCCGAGTACCTTAGCCACTAGACCACCGCGGCGGGGCGCCATCAGCTGAAGTTGATTTATGTAGCAGTGTCCAGGGCTACCATCTTTGCAAGCACCAGCACTTCATATCAGCTTACCTCTACTGGTATTGCTAATACCCATGTAGCTGTTGGCAATGTTACAAAACTGTAAACAACTAATTATATACAACATATCAACATGTGTCTGTGCCTGCATTTGTGACTTCGTAATACTTCGCACACAAAAAATTTACAACACAGTCACCTTCCATCTGCATGTTTCCGTACGCATCCCTTCTCATCGATTCCCAAGGTAGGTGGGATATGCCAACTACTTTAAAAACAATGAATGTTTTTAAAATGTTAAAGTATTAAATAATTAAGATATTAAATGTTTACATATCAATGTCCTGGCTAGGGCTTCTGCAACTATTAGCTTACATAACCAACCCGCCCAAAAAAAAAGACAAGGGGGAAGGGTTTGAAAAGTGTAAAAGGTGCCTTCAATGCGGCCATCACAGCTGGGAGCAGAACCACAATTTCATGCACAGCAGTGCAACACCATATCAACTGAGCAAAATCATCAAGTAACATTAAAGAAATATTGAACACAATATGTTAAAAATTAAAGAAGCATTGATATTTTACTTTAAAAACCAAGCTATTCTGATAAAGAATGTTTATTACACACACACACGGAGATGGCTACGTTTTTGGAGGAATGTATTTTGGGAAAACAACTTTAAACACAATATAGCTGGTGTCAGGGTCAGAGAGTGCTTTATTTGCCAGTACTGCAAGTACCACCACACATGACATCTTCTGTCCTCGTCCCGATGTAGCTCTAGCACTTGGTATATGCTGGTGATCATGTGCCCTGAATTCTGTCCCCGATCAAGCCTTCACGGTGAGCCCCTGAAAGTCAGTTCAAAGCATGAAAACAAGGACTCATAAGTAAGAACTCACACCATAAGCTTGACACAATGACTGCAGATGAAAGAAGTGGACCTGCTAGTGGAATATTTCACATCCTATAAAACTTTAGCCTCTCGCGCAGCTGATGCTAGCTCGAGCTGCGCGAGGATTAAAACAAGCTGACGCGCCTGGCGGTTTGGATGGGGCAGCCGCTGCCGCTCCACTTCGGCAATCGAATAAAGCAGCGAGTTTGACACAACCACGTTGGCCGTTGTCCCGTCTTCCTCTCACGCTACAAGTCTGCTCGCCTTTTTAGTTTATGACACGTAGCACAGAGTTCTTTATTTACTATCCGTATTTTTCCCCAGTGGTAGTTCTATAAATGACAGCATTCAAAAGTTAATAAATATTTATTTTAAATGTACAAGGCAATTTTTTAATGATCGACCAATTACACTGGGTTGCAGATGTTCTTTTGGGGCAAAATATTTGGGAAAGATAAAAATTTAATTGCATGTTCTTTTTTTGTGTGCAACACCAAAAAAAAAATAATATGCAAGGAATAGCGAAGAACACACAATGTGATACAAGGAGAAATGGCTAGTCTGGTGCAGTGTTCACACCAGCCAGCAGCGACAGAAGTTGGCGACGCCAGGTTCATCCCTTCACATGGATGCATAACACCTTTTATACTCCTATGTGCACATTATGTAGGGTCGCCTCCACGCACGTGCATTAGCATGCCCCTGGAGTCCCACTTGATAGAATTATGCTGAATGTAGCATTTTTTTTGTGTTGCAAATCAAAATATGGGACGAGCAAAATATTTGATTTTATCTTCAGACCCATGCGCTACAGCAATAGTCAGCCTCTTCACTTCCCTTCCTTTAGAGGCCTATATATTTGTTCATGCACAATAAATGCATCTGCTGGCCATTAGTGACTATCCTTGCACTTTTCTCTACTAGTCCTTGTTTCAAATAGCACTGTTTTTTCCCCTGATGCTTTCAATGCAAAGCTACATTTTTTACTAGGTTGGCATGATTATACCATCTCTATTTTAAAGGGGCCCTGCAACACTTTTTCAGCATGGTCAGAAAACGATGCCGATCAGTAGTAGAGGCTCCCGACAACACACCAGCAAAATATTATAGCGCAGCACGCGGCCTGGAATTCACAATAAATTACCAAAGTCAGCTAAAAAATGTTTTCTCTTATCTCGACAAATGGCGGAATATGCCCAAAAATCGCACCTGAATTACCCATCTATCAGCCATTGGCTGACTTGAACATGGTGCACTCGCTCGTTACAGAGATCGTCGTGGGAGGCCGCGACTTGTCCTTGCGTGCACGCGTGATCACACTAAAAAAGTCCACGAGGCCACGAGGCACGCGTGATGTTTTTCTTTGTGCCTGCCATCCCTCCCTGCTTAGCTTCCAGCGCTTTCGTTGGGACGAGAGAAGAGAGAATGCAATTACAGCATGCGACAAATCTTTGTAACTCCCCTCGCACTGGATGGATTTTTAAAATTTTAGCGCCGTTTAATTCATGAGGCAATAAGCTCTTCCAGAGAGCTCACTCCATGATTACTTGAAAAAGTGTTTCAGGGCCCCTTTAACACACTTCTACATGACCGGAGCCCACTCAATCGGCCACAATTTATCAGTGTGGAAATAAAAATTATATACCATCAAAAGAATGCAGGAAAACTGTGCTAATTGTTTTTTCAGTACTAAATCAGCATAGCTTCTGCCAAGGATGCTCATGTGAAATTCAACTATTTGAATTCACTACCGACTACCATTTATACCTTGATTCTTCTCTCCTCCAAAGAGATGCTGTTTACCTAAATTTTTTAAATCCTCTGACCCTGTACCACTGCAACAGCTAATGATCAAAGTAAATAGCTTATGCATCCATCCACTAATCACATCATGGATCCATTTTTTCCTAATTGGAAGATTGCAGTTGACAGTGTTTGGGCACCATCACACTACAGTCACCGAAGTATTATCAGGAGTACTGCAAGGTTCAGTCCTCGAACCCCTTTTGCTTTCAATTTTCATTAATGACCTGCCTATCAGTATTTCATCATCTATCTGGCTCTTTGCCAATTATTGCGTTCTGTACTGTCCTGTAAGCTCACATAATGATCAGATGCTTTTACGTGACCTGATTACAATTGAACAATGGTGCACTCAGAGGCTCATGCAACTAAACATTAAAAAATGCAAGTCCATGCACCTATCAAGAAAAAGCACTCATATCATACTCTTACTTTGTACTCTCTTCCTATTGAGATGGTTCAATCACACAGGTATCTCGGGGTTGCCATCACAAGCAAGCTTACATGGTCTACACATATTGATAATCTGGTAGCTGCCACAAACAAATCCCTGGGATTCATTTGATGGTCACTATCATCATCACCACCTGTGATCCACAAACTAGCATACGATACATTTATCCGCACTAAACTGGAATTTTCATCGGCAATATGAAACCCACATCAAGCGTACCCTGTTGACCTACTTGAAGCCGTCCATCCAGAACCGGCGCAGCCAGGTTTATTACAATGCAGGACATCCATGGTAAAAAACACAGCATGAAAATGGCTGTTTACCATGTATGTGAACCAACTCACCCAAGCCTTAACCTTATCCAGCACGACCCCCGGCTAAGCATCACAAACATGAAATAATTCTGAGACATGAAATCATCCTGGAACATCAAATCATTAGCACTTTGCAAAAATATCTCTCGCTTGTGCCTCATTCGTCAGCTCTATTACAACTGCCAACACTTACGTGACCTGCTTCTTTTTCTGCCAAACCACACTTCACGCTGCCTATCAAACTCCGTCAGTATTCAAAAAATTCATGGCACTACTAATTCATTCAAAAACTCCTCCTTACCATTAGCCATTGCAGAATGCAATAGAGTTTACCTGACCTTGTTGTAACTGAACGCGACCCCATAAAATTTCGAAACGTAGTAATAAATTTATTGAGTGCTGATGCATAATATATTCAGAGTTTCTTTTTTTCGTTAGTTCTAATAATAAAAAAAAAAGATTTCGTGCCACAATGCTCTTTATGGGCGCACAACAAGTTTCAGTGTCGAATGAAAATTTGTTATGACACCTGACAAGAGGCCCTTTATTTCCAAATACTACTACACATCATGTGCTTATAGAAAAAAAATGGCAAAAACCATGGAATAATTTTTTCTGTTTGCGACAAACGGTGGCTTGGGTAAGCTATTATACATAGTTTGTGCTATTCTGTGTTTGAGTGAGTATAACACCAATTCCATAGCCACATGCGTTGAGTCAACACAATATAATCAAATGTTAGAATTTGATGCCAGCCCTTCAGATGGCATGTAACCAACTGTATTAAGACTCAGATGCTGTTCAAGAACAACTTCTCAGATGCGTACACACCACAATGATGCTGACTGCCGGTGTAGTAGGATTTTCATTGTCCTCAATTTGTAGTTGCTTAACTAACAGAGAACATGCTGTTAAGATTTCTAATCATCTTTCTTACTTCAAATTAATTGACAAGGGAGTTCCTTAGAGATCAATACTAAACCCATTACATTATTTTATGTCCTATCTGTCACACTGTCTACCTTACCTGTATGCAGACGATAATAATATTCTAACTGTTTGTACCTCAATGCTCTCACTTCTAAGCTAAACAGTGGTTGGTCTCAAAAATATGATTCACTGGTGTTGTCAAAATTCCTTAGAAATTAACTTCACTGGTATTGTCTAAATTGATTAGAAATTAACCCGAGTAAATCATTTTTTATCCTATTTCACACCAATCAAAAGAAGACACTTAGTTGAATTATCTGCAATAACAGTCAATTACTACCTGGTCAAGGCACCCAATCATCATCGCTGTTTGGGAGTAATCACTGATTCAAACAAAGTACATTTCCGATGTCTCACACCTAAAGCAAAATCTGCCTATGGCATTAGGATCCTAATCAAAGCACATCCATACTTCAGTCTAAATACCTTGCTTTCTCTGCATTACATCTTCATTCACAGTCACTTTACCTACTCGATCGCATCCTGGGGTAACACGTATAGCACTCATCTAGCTCCTTTACAATATGTTAAAAATCAGGCCATTCGCATAATTGCGTATTAATCACCATGATGCACAAGAGCATCATATTCCAACCATTCACAAACTTCTTAATTTTAAGGTGGAAATCCTCACTAACGATTCCCTTCACTGAAACATTCCCTGAATAATTTTGACAAAAGACAACTCACTAATCAAAATAAAACCTGATTTGCATAAAATAAAATAGTCATGTCACTAAAAATTAGAATAATGGTACATTCGCCTCTGGGTTCACAGCAATGTCCTTCCAAAGCTGTATTCCAAGTGACAAGCTTTGTAGTAGTATAGGCAGTTTTAAAAAGCAATTATTTTCATATTTACTTTTGTTATAAGTAATCTTGTAATTTATGCTGTTCTATTGGTTCTGTCTTGCTGCGATATATATTTGTTCAATCTTGTAACACAGTTCACTTGTTTTCACAAGCATGAAGTTCTAACAATTTTGCAGTTTTGTGACGCATCACTTCGTTTTTTTTTTTTGCTTCATTATTAATAATGTGCATGTGAGATTTCTCAGTGTAATCAGTACTCCATTTGTGATTTTTTGTGTATTTGTATATATTTAATAAAACTCGAATATGAATACGTAGCTTCAAATACAAATTCAATATCGAATAACGAAGAGGTGCAACTTTTTTCCACTAGTGATCCTTTACTCAACCATATATTTATGTTGGTAACAGTACAATTGTTATTATAGTCAGTTATTGTGCATAAAAATAAAAAAAATATCACCATCTGTACTAGCCAGAAAGCATAAGACTGTAATAGTTTAGCTTGTGACTGTGGTGTCTTGGGTTCAATCTACATGTTGAACAAATCTTTTGTATCTTTTTTTATATGTAGTAGCACAT